ATGTGGTGCTGGGGGATTGAACCGCGGTCCCTGATGCCTTGCCAAGCTTGTTCTAAGTAGGTGCTTTAGACCACTGAGCCATCTCTCCAGCCCCCGAACACACTGTTTTTGAAGATTGACTTTTTATAGTAGAATCCATGGGGGGAAAAAGGATTATTTTTACTTCTCCATACGATTCTTGCAACATAATTGAGATAAATGTATCATCCTCATTCACAGATGAGAAGGCTGAGGTTGAGGTGGCTGAAGGACTGGGTATGATTCTAAATCCAATACATTTTTCAGAACATAATTTAGTCAATAAGTCAATTTATCCCACTAAAATGTGGATTATATTCAAATTTAAATAATAAGATAAATGTCATACTTGTAATTCAATATCTCCTAGAAGAGCAAAATCCTTCTTTTCCAAATGTCCACTTACCAATTAGCTTTCTGAGCACATTTTCTTACAGTGCCAATGTCCCTATATTAAAGTTTCTCTTAGTATTAATTTGTTACATGCCTAGGTAAGGAGAATTTGTGGAAAGAATGAGAATTGTATAGATAACTCTCTAATATCTTAATTTTTATCAGATGTATATGCTCTAAACAGTTCCAAGGTTTTTATATATCTACCTTTCACAATGAAATACTATTTACCTTTCTGCCAAGTGAAATGTCTCTTAACATCATTGACAACTAAAATGTTATGTCTCCCACAAATTCCCTTCTTGATCTAGTAGGCAGTCAGGAAAATTTCACCTTTGATGGCACCTGAGTCCTGCTGTCAAAACACTTAAGAGAAAATGAAATCACTGACGTACTTACTGAAAACCAAATAAGCATATTTATACTCATATCAGTCTTCAGAAGCAAATGGGTAAGATATTACTTCTTAGCAGAAGAAAAAAGACTGCCCAGTAAGTGGCAAAACTGGAATTTATATCCATCTTTGGGGCCATTCTACTCTACTGTTCAAATAATCTAGTGCAGTGCTCCCTCGGTGGCCACGGAGCAGAGGCGCAGAGCCCCTGAAGACAGCACAATCTGCGGACACTCACACCTCTACACACAGCGTGCAGGCTTCACATATCACCTACACACGGTCTCCCGTGTACCTGGAATCATCGCTCATTCATTACACCTAACACAACGTAAATCTCATGTAGACAGCTGCTAGAAGATATGATCCAGGAATAATGGCAAGAGGGAAACCCTGCACATGGTCAGTGTACACGAACTCTTTCTTCTGGCCTGCACTTGACTGTGAATGTGGACAAGGAAGCCATAGGCGTGTCAGGCCAACCACGCTTGCAACAGTGGTGACACACAGCCACCTGACGACTATGCACCTCACCGGGCTCTGACCTCAGAACTGAAACTATTAGGAAGGAATGGGTGACAAATGACACTCAAAAAATAACTCAATCGGGCCGGAGAGATGGCTCAGTGGAATAAGTGCTTCCCTGGCAAGCGCAACGGCCTGAGTTCAATCCCTGGTTCTGCCAAAAAAAACCAAAAAACCTCAATCTCTTATAATGACCTCCTTTAAATTAGTAGCCTTAAATAAGCACTGTAATTTTGTTCACAATTTATATGAAAACAGTTCATTTTAAACTGAGCTTTAAGATTTTAAATTTTTGTTAGAAAGTTCTTACAATTTTCTTATTTTAAAATTTCAAGATGTTGGACTCCGAATAAGAACTTTTAAGATTATGATACACCATGTGTTAATTTTTGTTATTCTCCTATTGGTTAAGAAATTTTATTTTTAGCTGGGGAGACAGCTTGGCAGTCAAAGCGCCTGCCTGGCAAGCGCAAGGACTGGGGTTCGATTACCAGTACCGCATACCATGCTGATCCGCTCAGATGCAGCCACCAAAACCAGGCATGGTGGTACATGCCTATAATCCCAGCACTGAGGAGACAGGAGAATCACTATGAGTCTGAGCTGCATAGCAAGACCCTGTATCAAATAAATATAAATAAACAAATTAAAAAATAGGGCCAGCCAGATAGCTCAGCAGATTAAAGTGCCTGCTTAGGCAGACACGGCAGCCAGGGGTTAGATCCACAGCCTGTATGCTGGCCCTGCCCCGG